CCACCACAGATCCTTTCTCCCCCCCCCCTCCCCGCCCCCCCCCTCCCTCTCTCTCTTCGCCCTCACCTAATTGTCACCCCACCCGACCCTACCCTCTACCTTCCCTCTCAACCTGACGCTGTCTATCTATCTATCCCTGTATTTGTTATGTTATGTTTTGTAACAGATCAACTTCCGAGAAGAAGCAGGGCCGTGCGAGTACATCGTGTGGTATTGCAGGATGCTCACCAGTGGGTTTCTCAAGCTCAACGCTGACAGGTCAGAGCCAAACGTTATTGTAAAAACAGCAAATCAGTGTAGGTAGGGTTGCTGTGGGAGTTACAGCTATTCTATTAAGGTCGAGGGTCAGTTTTTTTTCGGTGTTGTACTGTACTGTAGCACGAGACTGGCCAGGGTCTCAAGATTGGGACGGGTTGAGGTCATCTTGAAGCTCAACAACGAAAGCTTGCGCTCGCGAATACGGTTACAATACAAGAGGGCGGTTGTAAGTAGGGTGCTAAGGACTAAGGTTAGAGGCTCGGCTCAACACCTAGGGGTCAGGAGTGGGTCCTGGGCTTAGGCTTCGGATTTACAACAGGGGTTGGTCGAGCTCAACAACGACGACGGTTTGATGGCGGTGATGGCGGTGATGGCGGTTGTTTACTGCTGTTGTGGTGGATGTTTTTGCTGCCTTTTTTTTTTTTGTGGTGTTGAGTTGTATCAAGCTGTGGTTGGGGGAGGTTGAATCAGTTGAATCAGTTGAATCAGTTGAATCAGTTGAATCAGTTGAATCAGTTGAATCAGTTGAATCAGTTGAATCAGTTGAATCAGTTGAATCAGTTGAATCAGTTGAATCAGTTGAATCAGTTGAATCAGTTGAATCAGGCCGGTGGAGGTGGTGGAGGTGGTGGTGGAGCTTTCTGCAGATGACCCGGTCCGTGTCGCGGCTCTCTCCCGTACTGTAGAAGTATTTCGCACTAACATAATTTGCTTGTCGCTGGTTTTATGCGTCGCAGTTCTGTATGCTCGTTTGTGACCGATCGCCACTTTTGGGAATTTCTTGCCAACAGATTCCTGCCATTTCTGGAACATACGGTGGACATGCAGGACTTTTGCCAGCGAGAAGTTGAACCTATGGGGAAGGAGTGCGAGCAGGTATGTAGGTGTTGGTGTTTCAACGTGATGTACAGTGGATGTCGTGGCAGTTGGAGCTTGAAATTCTCCCGTGAGCCCATCCTCACAGGAGTACTGTGTACAGATAAGTAACAGGTTCCTCTTGGGCCCTTCCTTCCTTCCTTCCTTCCTTATCTCCACCATGCCGCAAGAATTCGTCTCTTCGCTCCAAATCGCTCCAAATGACGAGTGGTCGACATACTGTAACCCGCACGTAAGAGCACAGCACCTTGATTTGGTACGCACACGCACGAAGAGAGTCCTGCGCGACCCTCGAGCCTGGTTGACGGGGGGGGGGGGGGGG